GCGTTTGCGCTGCATTCGCGCGGCGCCGTGCCTCTCAAATCGGAATGAACTTTCGGGGCGCCGATGCTGTCCTGCTCCACAGCAAATGCTGCTCAGTCAACTGTGGCGAGAGATGGTCCTGCACATGAGGTAGAAGATGTTCAGTTAGAAAGGGGGAGGAACACAACCACCTTCATCAACACTCTGCTTCAATAAAAAATCAAATGGAAGATCAGGGCCTGGGCACTCAGGAAAGGGGAGAGGCTTGACTCGACGCCAAAGCTGCTGCTCAACAGCACCATAGTCAGACGAGACCTTCAGGCACGCATGGGTCTTGAAAGAAGAGGGGCTATGCTTGGTGACTGCCGCGTCGCTGGCAATGCCCTCCGAAGCGACCACGAAATCGATGAGGGATCCCCGTCCCTGCGCACGGGTGAACTCCGCGCCCGCCGGCGTCAGCGCTCGCCCCGTAGCTGACCTAGGAAATCCAAAGAAACTCAAATCTCCAACAGGAATGTTGTCATCTCCCATGAAGGCCCAAGGTGTCGCCAGAGTGCCCAAGAACTCGGGGAACTCGCGGAGATGTTCAACATTCCCCCCATGGACACCCAGGCCCGACACCAAACAAACTATACCTACAGATAGCACGGCGCGTTGAATCCTTAATTCCAGGAAAAGCCAGCGGCTACCAGAGCCAAGGTCCATCACGGACCCAACAGAAGCAAGAAAACGCCGACAACTCAAGCCTCGGGACACCAGGGCACCGACGCCGCCGTGAGAGCCGCCTCCAGGGGCGGGGGTAGCATCTGAGAAATGGGGTTCCACTTCATCTGCCTAGCCTCGCGCTCGGCAAGGCGTGTCTCGTCTCCAACAAGATGATGCTCTGCAAAGAAAAACCGCCACAATCGGGCTTCACACCCTGGGCAAACGAAAGAGACACATCGCTCCACGAAGTCATATTGCAAAACAGGAAATTAATGCTATGAGCGGCTGCGTCGCCACCCGTGTGCCCGTTAAAAACGCGGCTGCTGCTCGGGGGGCCAGTCGCCGTCGGCGCCCGCGGACATTCCGCCCCCACCGCCAGCTGGTAGCGCGGGAACTCCAGGAAAGCCAGCACGCGGTACCATCCGCCCCAGGACACGTCCAAAGCTGGCAGCGGTATCTTCTCGAATGCTCTTGGGTCGCTTGTGTGCCTTCTCTGGGGCCTTGCGCGCAAGTAGTGCCCCCGTTCGGTCTCGGTCTGTCTCTGAGAGGGCCGTCTCCAGAGAACGCTTCTTGAGGCCTTCGAGCCCGGCGATATGAGTGCCGCCCCGCTCGCTGGCCATATCAGAATCAGGTGCATCAGACTGGGTAGCCCCCTCCATGCGCCGCATCTCGTTCCAGAAATCGAACCTCTGATTGTTGGCGCTGCACCGGGCTCGGAGCGCTTCATCACTGAGCCCTCCAAGGTTGGGCGGAGGTGCAGCGCCTGGTCCTTCGCCGCCATGAGTTTCACGAGCGCGCCCACCAGCAGGAGGCCCCGCCACTGGAGCAGACGCAGCACCAGGGGCGCTAGCGCCGTCAGCAGGGGGACCACGAACAGGTTGGGCGCCAGCAGGCCCACCAGGGCTTGCATGATGTGCTCCTCCAGGTGGGGCAGCAGCGTGACATTGGACACCGCCAGCTGCAGCGAGGGCTGCAGCCTCTTATTGGGCTTGGACAGCGCGCCGCGCTTCAACGCGCGCACGATCGCCCACTTCGCGAAGATGACGTCGGCAATCCTCTGCAACAGACGCCTCCTTCTCGGCGCTAGCCGCGCGAAGAAGCGCCTGCTGCTCATGTAGTACCTGCGTCGCCTGCGCGCTTGGCCTCGGCCCGAGCCAGCGCTTCACGGTGACAAATGACTGCTGAATGCCTAGATTGAACTTCTGCCTGGGCGATCCTCTCCGCGCGCGACTGGATCTCCGCATATTTGGCCAGGGCGGTGCGCTTGGCCTCGACTTGCCTCTCCAGGTCGTTATCGCTCGATGGAGCAGGCGGGGGCGTAACTTCCACTGCTGCAGCCTGCTGTCCCACTTGCCCCAACAAGCCTGCCATCTGGGGATACTTCGTGGCCAACTCAGCCAGGTCGTTCGCCAACTGCGCGGGGGCGGGCGCAGGAGACACACCTTGGTTGAGGTAGTTGCCGCCGCGCGCGCTGCAGCAGGCATTGCCGCACTTGCCGAAGCCCCAGTGCCCGCAGTCCGAGCGCGCAGAGCATGAGCCGCCGCGAGCGCTGCGACGGCCACCATCACCACGATAGCCATTGCCATGTGCCTGCAATTGGCGTGCACCTCGCCCTTGGGCACCATGGGGCGCGGGCGCGCCGGGACATATCGCAGGGGGAGGACAGCTCCGACAGGAGCTCGCACGGAGAGACCGCGGTCCAGCGCACGGCCTGGACGCGGCTGCGCGAATAGTTTGGCCAATGCCCACGGATGCACCCAAAGCTAATCGTGATTCGGTATGTCACGTTACCTCCACGCGTTTAGCCTTGAACCAAAATGGCTACGGCGAGTCGGCCTCCGACATGGCATGGGCGATGTCTGGCGGCAATTCCATGCGCGCCTCGGAAACGTCCACCTCGGCGGCGCTCACGGAGTCACCTACGGACTCTGGTTTCGCAATGTCCATGGCGGCGCAAACCTCGGGCACTGGGGGGAAGATGCAGTCCGTCTCGTAGTCGTTGGTGTCGGCGGCGGTGGTGGTGTCATCGGTGGTGGCTTCGTAAGCGATCTCCTGCTCACTGTGCGGATGCACGGGGGAATAGTCGAACTCACAAGCGCTAGCGTCGGCATCGCCCATGGCGTGCGCCGTTTGGGCCTTGGTGGTCGCCCGCTCCTCACTGTGCGGCTGCACGGGGAGCTTTCCAGCGAGTTGCGCCTCGACCTCGCGGAAAGAGTTCGGTGAGCATCGGCGCCGTGACGTGGCGAATGACGTTGTGGGCGATCTCGAGGCGCTCGAGCTGGCGTTTGAGCGGCGTCGGGAAAAGACGGCACACAGGACTTCGCAATGCCTGAAAAAGTCCTTGGACGTGGCAGCCCGTACCTGTGGCTTAGGCTCGCAGCACACGGCCATGCGCATCATGAATCAGCGCAGGAGGCTCCATATAAGTGAAGAGGATAGCGGGAAAGCAGCACAGAAGGCCACTGCCGTAGATTGAGCCCACCACGGCTACGCGCAGGACCTAACAGTCACGTTGATTCGCGGTGCTGAAGTCCCAGGAACGGCGTCTGGCACGACTTCGTATTGTGATGACGCATCAGTCACGTTGATCCGCGAGCTGTTCCCAAGAACTGTGTTTTGGCGCGCTTGAAGATTATCAGACGGTTGTATTCTATCGGGCCACTTCCCGCAATGAAGCAACTTCCTTGAGGGACCCATGGGAAGGGATTTTGGAGGGGATGCGTTGCAACATCGTTGATGCGTCCTGGGTTTACACACACGGCCCTCCTCTTCCTCCTCCCTGGCCGCCCCCGTTCGGATGGAACACAGGAACCACATTCTCACGATTTCCTTTGTTCGCGGTTCTGCGGAGGCCTAGCTGCCGCCTCAAATTTGCTTCTCGGCCTCAGCACGTGACACACATGTAGCCGGCTGTGCCCTACTAGCCCCCGCGGCCCTCGGAGCAGCGCGACGGAAGAAGCCCGGCGCGCGGCGCAGGCCGAGAGTGCGGCAGCAGGCCGAGAGTGCGGCGCGGGCTTGGGCACAGGGCGCAAGCCAGTGCGCCAGAACTCCTGCCGAGAGTCTGGCGGACGCGGCGCGAGCAGGAGCGCCAGCCACGGCGCGAGCGGCAGCGGAGTGCCCAGCGGAGCCCGAACGCAGGACGCCCGCGCTCCCGCAGGCCCAGCGCTGGGCGGAGGCCGAGCGCACGGTGGCCGACGAGCGCCCGGCGGAGGCCAGGCCGAGTGCCCAAACGCCAGGCCGAGGCCGAGGCCGAGGCCAAGCATCGGGCTCAGGCCGCAAGCGCAGCGGAGGCCGCGACAGCGACGGCGGCGAGAATCAGGACGCTGATCCAGTCTTGCAGTGGCTGCTCGCGAAAGGCGAGCACACCCGCCGCACTGTTTCACGCCGACTGGAGGGCCCTCGACGTGCCTGGCCGAGCTCCGCATCTGCGAGGAAACCTTGCGCCAACCCGCGGAGCCTAGCTCTCTCCAGGATGATGCTGACGCAGACGGCCTCGCCGGGGACGATCTCGATGAGCAGGGCGCGGCCGATGGTCGTAGTTACCCAGGAGGCCATGCGTGGAAGACTGACTCGCGGCCCTCTCCGAGGGGCGCGGCCCGCCAGACTCCTGTCCCTTCTCTCCCCGTTTGTCTCGTTTCGGTCACTCGGGACCCTCGCGTGACGATATTTGTTTGGCCCTTCGCTCGATCCCCGTCGCTCGGCTCCAGGAACTGCGCCTTGCACTGCCGGCGCACTGCGAGGCGTTGAACGCCCGTAGCAGCACTGATCACCTGAGTCGGTTTGGGACGTGAGGCTGGGGCCACTCTCCATGCCATCGTGGAGCTCATGCCACCCCCACTTCGGCACCATAATAGTTCCTCAAATCTCATACCCAATCGTGTCGTTTTCATTGTCCTCCCTGCCTTCCTGAATCCCCCCGTTCGTCCTCCTCGGGCCCTAGGTACTGAATGAACCACCTTCTGTTGCCGCTGCTATCGGTCGCCGAGGCCACTTGTCAGCAGCTCTGGCCAGAGGCATTAGGAAACCAAGTTGATGGGGTTCCCAGCGAGTCGGTGGGGTCCCCAGGCCCAGTTGCGTTCTCTGCACAGGGTCATGGCATTCACGGCTGCTCGAATCAGACCGCGATCGGCTTGCTCGAATCGAATACCATCCTCCTCCTCCTCCTCCTCCTCCTCCTCCTCCTCCTCCTCCTCCTCCTCCTCCTCCTCCTCATGTTCCGCATCTGCCTCAGCCCTGCCGCCTCCTCCAACCAACCGAGAGCGTCTGACCCGAAAGTCCAGCTGCGTTTCGGCACGCAAGACTGCAGGCCCAGGAACATAGGGCTGCGGTGGTCATTCACCAACTTGGGGTGGTTCCTCCGTGCGGGAAGCGGCGAGGATAAAGTCCCTGACGTCCAGGCGTCGTGAACGTCTCCCTCCCCCTCCCCTCGCCTCACCTTCCCTTCCTCCCTCCCTCCCTCTTCCCTCCCGCCCCCGCTCAAGCCACAAACAACGCAGGCCATAGACTGCGCCACAGGTTGAAACATATATCCCGCCTGGCTCCCCGCAAACGCCCGAACACCGAATCGCGATTTCCTCACTCTATATATGTTCCAAAGGTTGCACCATAAATTATGCCAAACACCGCGAACCCTGTGAATCGCGACTTCCCCGCCATGCCGTCTACCAGTTGCGCCACAAATTGCGCAAAACACTAGACATCATACGGGATCGCGATCTGCCGACTCTGGGCCAGCTGTCCGTAGGTTGCGCCACAGGTTGCGTTACAGGTTGCGCCAAACACCCCGTTCCCCAACGACTCGCGATCTCCCCGCCCTGACTACCCACTAGACGATCCCAACCTAACCCAAAGACCCGAATTTCGGTTTGGAAGGGGTACGGGTTCCACACGTGTTTGTTCGATGTTTTCCGACCCCCCCCCGCTGGTAATGAAGAGCAAACTGGGGCCTGCCAGTTGGGCTGGGGTGCTTTGGTTGGTGGTGACGCTCTGTCTACCTTCCATAGGTTGTGCCCTAGCTTGCGCCAGAAATCAAGTGAAATACCGAATTGCCAATTCCCCACTGTCTACCATAGGTTGCGTCAAAGGTCGTGCCACACATTGTGCAAGACACCCCGCACCCTGCGTCGCGATTTCACCATTTTGTCGACCATCCGTAGAATGTGCCATACATTTCGTCAGGTCCTCCGCGCCCTACAGCGACTCGCGATTCCCCTGTCATGTCTGCCTTTTCATCGGTTGCGCTGCAGACTGCGCTGGACACCCCGTGCCCTCTGAATTGCAAGCACGCCGCCGTCTACATACTATGATGAGTGCCGCAAGTCGCGCCAGACGCCACACGCCGCGCTTTGCTGGCCACGCGTGGCTGAATCGCGGTTTCCCACTCTGTAAGATGGCCTCTGAGAGTTCCCAAGGCCAAGATGGACCCCAAAACGGCTCCAGTTGGCCACAGGATGGCGCCGCGATGGCGCTGGGATATCCCAAGGAAGCTCCCGATATGCGAACACATGCGCAAACCAATCATTGTTTTGATGCGCTTGGTACTCGCACCCTTAACGCGTCAGATGATGAAACGGGCCCCATAATCCTCAAGACGGGCAAGCAAACACACATGCCGAAGTTCGGATACAGATGCGATCGCTTTTGCTTGAGATGCAACACGGACCAGCGACGCACCCATAGGCCACATAGTAGCAATTACTCGAATACCAATCTTCGAATGCTAAAGAGGTGGAGCCAGAGGCGTGGGTGCAACTTTCAATTGGCGCGTCGCCTGGGCCCAACTGGCAATCGGGCGGCCCCGCGCTCGCCATCGCCGCCCAAATTGCGCAACGCAGATTCCCGCTCGGGCATTGCAATTTACGCCTGGTCCTGCCCCGCTGTTCACTCTGAACATGAACTCGCGACGCCCCAGCCAGACCCCCCATCGACCCCCCCCCCCCTTCCCACCCCTGACAAACAAAACAAAGCGCGCGCACTCGTTCCTCAAAAACCGTGCACCGTCCAGATTCACTTGAAGAAAAATAAACACACGTCACGCGCGCGGCGTCGCCCGCGCGCGCCGGAATCCTCGGGCCATTTTAAATCTCGCAAAGGGTTTCAATATCGAGGCCCTCGAAAACAAGTCAAAGGCCAATGGTTTTGGAACGCGACTCGTCAGGGCGAAAACGCGCGCCCTTGCGACATATGGTGAAAACCGCAAGTTGCTCTACATTTCCACCAGTTGAAACCGCGCGGGATTTTCGCGCCCGCGCGCCGAGATCATTCGAGCACCCTTTGCGCGCTTGCTAGGGAGAGAAGAGAGGTGGGGGCGCGATCCCTCTCGAATAGTACCACGCGCGCCACTCGCGCGCGTCGGCCGCGCGCGCGCCGAAATCCTTTCGCGACCGTCGTCGCCGACGCGCGGACGGTCTATCATCATCATTATTGTGACCAGCATCGGCGTCTGCATTGGCCTTGCCGTCGTCGTCGCCATCATCGTCACAATCATCGATACTATCATTGTCGCGCCCCCTGTTGCCGACGCCAACATGGCGCCGCGCCCGCCCGAGTCGCCGACGCGGGCTGACGCGCCCGCGCGCCAGCGCGGCCTGTGATACGCGACGGGGCGCGCCCAGCTGCCAGCGCCACTGTTGCCGCGTCTGCCGCGCCAATCTAGCCGGCAACTCTGCGCGCCAGCTTGCGCGCGCTAGCGCGGCCGCAGAGCGGCCGCGGTCAGGCGCCAGCCAGCGCCCAGCAGTCATTACAATCGCCGCCACATTGGTTTCGAAGGCCATGTTGCGGGTGGGCGAGCCAGATGACTGCGCGAGCAATAAAGTTGGCAACTTCAAATTGCGCTCGGAAAATGGCCCCTGGTGGGCCCCCCCTGCCAGGCGGAAAATAAACGCTATATCCCCCCCCGCCCCTTCCCAGAATTCCCCCCCCTGGCGCGCCGTGCAATCGCTCATTTGCAAGTGCTTTCGCGCCGCCCCGGCCGGCCCCGCGTCGAGCCCCCCCCCCCCCCCCCTCCCCCCCCGCGCGCCCCCGCTCCAGATAATCCCCGTCGGGCGACGCGACGCGCGCGCGCTCGCTCGCCAAAAATCACGCGGGTTCGACCCCCCCCACCCCGCGACAAATATTCAAAATCAGCGCTCGCGCGGCGTCGCGCGCGCGCGGGCGCCCCCCCAAAACCCCGGCTGTCGCGCGGATTAAGTCGAGGTCTCCGAGCCCACGCAAAACCTCCGGAACATGACCTGTCAAATTTTGCGCGGGCGCCCAATGGCCATGAAGGCCGCGAAGGCCACGCGTTCGCTCGTTGACTTGCATCGCGCGGGCGCCCCGCGAGCGGATGCCGAAATCATTCGAGCGCCCTGGCGCGCTCGCCCGCGGGGGGGGGGCGCGGCCGCATCGCGCGAGGCCGCGCGGGCCAGTCGCGTCTGTCGGCCGAGCGCGCGCCGAAATCTGAGAAAAATCTTCGTCGCCGACGCGCGGGCGCCATCGTCGTCATCGGCGCGACCAGCGTCGGCGTCTGCATTGGCCTTGCCGTCGTCGTCGCCGCCGTCGCCATATTCGCTGCTGCCGCAATCGCGCCCGCCTGGGCGTCGACAACGCCATGCCGCCGCGCCCGCTCGAGTCGCGGACTCGCACTGAGGCGCCCGCGCGTCGCGGCTCGGCCTGCGGGACCTAGCCACCTAGCCGGCCGCTCTGCGCGCGGGCAAGCAATGGATTTGACGAATTCAAGTTGTGCGGGGTGAGAACAGCGAATAAGTTGCGCGACATTGACTCCTGCGTTCGCAAACAGACTTGGGATCCACCGCCGCCGCGAGGACTGGTTTGCCCATTCCCCCTGGGGGCGCGCAATTCCCACGCGATCCTTCCCCCATCGCCCCCTCGAAGCGCGAATTCAGATCGCCCCAGCCAGGCCGGCATCGACTGCCCCCCCCATCGCCCTCGCCAAATACTGCGACGCTCCGCGCGCGCCACCTCGAACAAATAAGAACGCGCAAACAATCCCCCGCGAACGCAAAAACAAGAGTGCACGCGCGCGCGCGCCGGCGCGAGCGCGTGCCGAAATCCATTTTAAAACAACCTTTCCGCTCGCGTTCCAAAATCGAAGTTCCCGAACGCAATTTGAAACGCGTTGCCTGCGCGCTTTTGCAGATTCCAAAGACGGCCATCGGAATTCGCAGAAGTCATCGAGTGCAACCACGCGGGCCCCCAATGCGCGCACGTCGACATCACTCGAACGCCCGCGCGCGCGCCGAGGAGAGCGCGACGCGCGACGCCTGTCAAATGGTGCCGCGCGAGCCACTCGCGCCCAGCGGCCGCGGGCGAGCATCGAAATCCTTCCGCTGCGTTCATGGCGGGCGCGCGCGCCCGCCATCGTCGTCACCGGCGCGATCAGCATCGGCGCCGTCAATGACCTGGTCGTCGGCGTCGCCGCCGTCGCCGCCACTATTATCATCGCGTCTGCCGTTGCCGATGCCAGCGTGGAACGGAAGCGCCCGCGCGTCGGCGCGGCCTGCGAGACGCCGTAGGAAGCCCCCCGCGGCGAGCGCCGCCGCGCCCGCGTCGGTCGCGCCAACCTAGCCGGCCGCTTCGCTCGCGATCCCGCGCGCCAGCGCGGCCGCTGCGATGGGCCAGCCAGCGCCGAGCAATCGCCGGGCGCCGCCGCCGCGCCGCTGACCCCGCGCGCCCGGCCAGGGCGCCGCGATGCTCAAGAGCCTCCCTGACAGAGTCAACGATTAGGCGCCATTCGCGCGCCTCGGGCATCCCCTCGGGCCCTCGGGCTGGCGCGGGCGGAGACGCAGAAGGGGGAGACCGCGATCGCTGGACTTCCAGTCGGTCAATCTTGGAGCCCCCTGGCGAACAGAGAAAGGAACCCTGGTCTCGATGGCAGAGGCCGAGGAGAGCGGGGAGAACGCCCCGTCAATCGCAATGCAGGTTTGACGCGCCGGCAGAACTTCGCAGGCATGGCTGACGCCGCCCCCACCATTCCATGATCAAAGAGAACCCACCTTCCAAGAGGGCCGACGCCGCCGACCACGGCCCTCAACTCTTCCCGGCGCCTCGGGGCGAAGCAGGGAATCATGTGCGACGTCGGCGACGTGGGGAACTCCGACTGGCAAGACAGCGCCCAAGTCTCTCGCCCTCGCGAGCCCACCTGGCCGCCGCCCGCGCACCAGGCCTGGCGTGCGCGGCGCCGATGCTGAGCGCTCTAACCTGTGAGTATTAAGGAACGCTTGATCTGGCGGCCGCCTGAAGCCATCGGCGAAACCGACGCGCTCAAGAGACGCGGCGCGGAGCACGGGCGCCATAATCGAGGTCCGCGGAAGGTGCCCCACTTGGGATGGCGAGTTCCATGGCGCAAGGCATGCTCCTCCCCCGCTGGATTCCGCAACGCTGAAGAAGACGCGATGATCGCATGTGGACTGACACACACACACACACACAGCTTTGGCGTCGAGCGCGGCTGCGTAAATTTCTCCAGGGCGATCGCAGCGCAGGCGGATGGCGCGGCGCCGGTCTCCCGAGCGCGGCCGCCGTGAACGTAGATGCAACAACAAAGGCCTCTGGCATTCCAAGACACCGCCATGCGAGCCTCATCTTGCTGCCGGGGCCACAGCTGCTTGGCCAAGGCCACGACCGCGAGCGTGCGTCTAATGCGGCGACGGCCCATGCCCATCCAGGAGACGCGCGCCCGGCCCCAGTAAAGCCTCGGAGTGTCACTGTCTCCTCGCCCCGCCGCCACAACGATCGGGGCGCCGTCCGCATGAACCGCGCCACGCTCGGGCATTGCCCACCACTGCCGTCCATAGGCCGCAGCCTAACAGATAGCTGCGAGCCTCCTGGGCTGCTGTTATCGACGAGTTGGGGGACTTCCCCGCACCAGCAAACAGCCCATCTTGAGCACCATGCGTCCGTTCCGCCGAGAAACGACTCCACTGACATGACGGGAGTCGAAAGGCCTTTGCCAGCGAGCTAATTTTCACCTGCGGGGCCGCCCTTGGCCTCCACCAGAGGACGACTCGAGGCACCTCTCCTGTGAATCTGCACGTCCCCACCATCTACTTGCGCATCCTCCAGCCATGGTCGGGTAGCATCTTGGCCCCCAGCGAGAATCACAGTAGCAAAACCACTGTTCAAGAACATGTTGGGATGGGGGTGTCTGACGAACCCCGCCAACCTGGCGATGTCCACGCACGAATGCTTCTCTTCAACTTGCGCCACCCTTTCATTAATGCGACCGGTATAAGCCTGCAGAGCTTTGCTGGCATCCTTCAAGAGATCTCCAAGTTCTGTTGGCCACGCTGGAGAGCAACAGCGGAAACATCATGTCCACCCACCCTCCTGATCGTAGGAACGAAGTGTCACTGGAACTGGGAAGTGATCGAATCCTGCGCCGCGAGCGTCGTTCTGTTGGCCACAGCCTGAGCCTGAGTAGCAAAAGCGGTGGTGTGAGCCTGGGCTTGCGTAGCCACCACGCGGGTGGTGCACTGGTCCCATGCACAGTGCGGGGCGCCATCAGGGAGGCAACCTGAACCGCAGAACCGCCCAGCGTCGCCGCAACATCGTCCTCAGCGATGGGCGCATGTGCTCCCTCAGCAGATGATGGAAAATCAAAGCATAATGAAAGCCTCTGGGATCAACTGCAGCATGGCCACTCGCGGAAGCAGCACGGGAGTCGGAAACAAGACGAGAGCCAGACGTGTCCCTCGCATCAGCACCGTTACCATAGTGAGGACAAGCAGGAGGGGCTCCCAATCCAGCAGCTGCTGTCGCCCAAGGGCCATGATGACCACCACGACGGTCGCCAGAAACCTCCAGCGTAGGCGAAAGAATGAGACTTCGGAAACTATCAGAAAACTATCCCGCTCCATCTCGCAATCCGCATCCGCAAATGGCAATCGAAGAGCTGCATCAGCCGCGCGTTGCCGCAAACGCTCCTCTACCCGACTCCCAACACCCTGGTCATCATATCCATCTGCTCGGGCATGAACATCAACATCGACATCACGGCGACCTCCTATACGACGACGCTGAGGCCGACGACATTAGTTCGGAGAGGGACGCTCAAAAGTATGCCCACGACGAGAGCGACGGCCATAGCGATTGGCAATCTCCTCCTCAGAGCTGCTGTGCACTTCGCGTCGACGGTTCTCTTCATCAGAGAGAGAAAAAGAGAGAGAAAGAGAGAGAGAGAGAAAGAGCGAGAGAGAGAGAGAGAGAAACAAAAAAAAGGAAGAAAAAACAGAGAAAGAGAGAGAAAGAGAGAGTGATCCCTCTTGTCACCTTCACCACGCCTCCGCTGCCGAGTACCAGAGCGAGAAGGATGAGGGCGGTCGCAAGGAGCAGGACCCATGCCAAGAAGAGAAGAAGAGCTGGCCAGCACGAGAAAAGGCGAGAAGGGCATCGAAACGCCCGCGGGGCGGGGTGCGGCTGCCCTGAAATGGGTGCAATCTGCCTCGGATCAGATGTCTCCACGGGCCCGCTGTGGAACTGAACATCTTGAGCCAAACTGGCTACGGAAGAGGGGGAGGGCCAGAAGAAGCAGGAGAGAAAAATAGGATGGTGATCGGGAGGACCAGGAGGATGAGACTAGGTAGGAGTTCGCAAGATATCCAGACCCTCGCCCGTGATGTAGCGCCCCTTGTCGCTGCGAAGTACATAGCAGCTGCAGCAGCAGTGGCAGAAACATTGGCCCAGCCATCCAGGAGGGACGGACACAGCGAAGGGGAAGGAAACTCAAATTGGTTCCTCCTGATGCACCTTCTTGCGAATTGGATATTCTATGGAAGCAGCAGAAAAATGAGTGCAGAACGCTTGGGGGGGGGGACCTGTTCCGCCCAAGGCATGGCGAACCTGGACAACCAGCAACTGCAACCTCCACGGGCTGTCGGAGAATGGTGCTCAACAACATGAGTGTTGGCAGCAATGGAGCTCCGAATGTCAATCGGAGGCGCGCCCCGGGGCGGGGGGCAGAGGGGCGGGCCTTCCCAGGAGGCTCAGAAAGCTCCCGGCCTTCTGGAAAGTTTTCTGGGCCTTCTCTAACGCCCGCGGCCTTCTGAGAAGGCCGGCCCCATCTCAATTTTCCCTCGGCACGCCGTCGACGTAAGGCATGGTTGCGCACGGACAGTCCCCGGATCAAGTCCTGGCCGGCTGGCCTCACAGGCCCCCACAGTAGTCCTGGAACACCCACCCTGGGGCGCGGAACACCTGAGTGGCGCCGCCGAAGGCGGCGCTGGGATGTTGAGCCCGCTCTGGGCAAATCACTGGGGAGGTTGTTGACGCCAGCCAAGACTACCTCGGTGGGGTTGTCTGTGCGCAGCCCCAAAAGCCTTGCCAGATGCCCCGGCTCCTCCTCCTCCCGAGAGCAACCCAGACTTCCGACGATTGTATTTTCGAGACTCGGGGCACCCAGAACTCTCCACCATTTTCCTGTCACCGGCGTTTCATCCTGAGTCTCTTTGTACGGTCCCAGGTCCAGAAAAAAAGCCTCCAGAGGCCGAACATGCGTTGTTCAAAGTAAGACTCTAGATTGTCCAATCTCTGGAGTTTGGGAAGAAGGCTGGAGTTGGCTCCTGAGCATGTACTGCGCAAGCCAGGTCAGCGGATTGAACGGGACCTTCGAGTGAGGAGGCCCATCTGCTGTCGTCGCCTGGGCGCTCGCTGGCTCAATCCTCCAACGCCGTATGTCCTTCCTCTTTCGGTTCCTTCTCCTCCTCCTCCTCATTATCCTTCTCATTATGTTTCCCACCTCCTGATCTAAATTCCATGTTTGACGACCACAAGATCTCACAAGTAACCATTGCATTCCGTGGCGATGCGCGGCAGAGACTGGCCAGCTTCTTAAATTAAAGCAGCATCCCAGAAGAAAAAAACACCAGCAAGAAGAGGAGAAGGGAGAACGAGGAGTAGGAAGAAGAGGAAGAGGAAGGAGGGAAGGAGACCACGGTGCACGCAGACGATCGGCCACGTGGCCGTGACAGCGGGGGGAGGAAGAGAACTATAGCGTCGACGATGCCGTCCAACTGGCTGGCACCACAAAGTTGGCACCACGATTCCGTCAGAGAGGGAGGAGGCAGAGAAAGGAGGAGGAAAGCGGGGAGAGGGCAGACGCGAAGGAGGGCGGACAAACTTGATCTACATGCCATGAAAGACCGCGACCCACAGTGAATGAAACAGATCGAAGGGCGGAGACCGCCGGCGAACGAGTACCATCGAGGCGAATCAGTAAGTTGAACAAGTGAGGAGGAGGGGAAGGAGGAGGAGGAGGACGAGGAGGAGGAGGAGGAGGACACAACGCTGCACGCGGAGTCGGGGCGGCCCCCCCCCGTAGCGGCCAGCGACACAGGGCGGCCTGTCGACGTCCTCCCTGTGTTGCAGCCAAGGCAAGCGCCAATTGAAAACTCGGCGTGCGCCTCATGCGGTGAGGCACGCCGCTTGATGCAACCCTTCTGGTTGCCCTGGAGACCGGGGGAGCCATGAACGACCACGAGCTCACCCCGCCTGCGCAGGGGCGTGCAGAGAGCTACGAAAAGGACTGCCCGCAGCGCCCCGCCAGCCCCCTGACGGGCATGGCAGGGGAGAACAGTGAGGGGGGGGGAGGAGGCAAGACGGGGCGGAGGACGGAGGAGGGAAGAGAGAAACATCGCCCTCGACGAGCGTCTCGGCTGCCTCACGGGACCTCCGGCCAGCCCGAAAAAACTGCACCATGGTTAAACCTGGAGGAGGGGAGGAAGGGAGGGGGGGCGGAGGACGGAAAAGGGAGGGGAGGATCATCGCCCTCGTCGAGCGTTTCGGCCGCCTCACGTGTAACGGCTCTCGATTGCAACGCTTGCCCTCGTGCTGGAACTCCACGTAGGCGCCCGGCAAGTCCCCCAGCGTCAAGCGGCCTGTCCTAACCTAGATCATGTCTCCTGCTGCCCATATCATCCTTCTCCTCCTCCTCCTCCTCTTCCTCCTCCTCCTCCTGGATGCTGAGGCTCAGTAGTCTAACACATGAGGAAACCAGGGCGTTCTGCAGTAGGCGTGCGCGTAGGATTCGGGGGCTCTTGCAGGTTCAGTGGGCTCGGATTTTCCTTCAGTCTGTTCTCTCCTGGTTGCCCCACCTCCAGAGACACCAGGACTCCTTATTATATCAATTCTTTTCTGGAACAGGGAGCGGACTGGGTAGCCAGCCAGCGCCGCCAGTGGATTTCCCCAAACAGCTGTAGCAGTAAGACTTTCACTCGTAGTGCGAGGGGCAGGGTGATCCGCTGGGACAACGGGTGGGCTAAGAAGTTCGACCCCGGTGGCTCCAGAGATCCCCAGACCTTGCATGCCCTCTCCCTCCGCCTCCTGTCTCCCCTCGGTGGCAAGGATGAGGTTCCTGCACGCTAAGCTTCCAGCTTTCGTTCTCATGGGGCAGTCAGGGGTCCGCTTTGGGAAGCGCCTCACTCACTCACTCACTCCTGCTCCTCATCACCATCGCCATCGCCATCAACCGTATCAACATCAACAGCAGCATCATTACCATCATCATCAGCATCATCGGCATCAATATCATCATCATCATAATTAGCAGCATCATCGTAATCATCATCATATTCATAATCAACATCAACATCATCCTCATCAACATCATCATCATTATCATTATGATAATGATCATGATCAACATCATCACCATCATCATCACCACAACTACTTTCATCATCATGATCACCACCACTTCCGTCAACGTCACCACCACAATCATCACCGCCATCGTACTCATAACCGTAGGCATCATCAGCATCGTCATCAGCAGCATCATCATAAGCATCATCCCCACCATCACCACCACCATTATCATGGCTTAATCCACATCATCGAAATCGTCATCATCATCATCGCCACATTCGTCAACATCACCACCACCACCATTCAGCATCAAAATCATCACCCTCGAGCGCATAATCAGCATCACCATCATCAACATCATCATTCACAGCATCACAATCAGCATCATCATCGGTATCAGTATCAGTCTCATCATCATTATCATCATCATCATCATCATCATCATCATCATCATCATCATCATCATCATCGTCATTACCACCACCACCATCACCATCACCATCACCATCGTCATCATCATCATCATCATCACCATCATCATCAGCGCCAACTCAATCATCAACATCATCATCGCCCTGCTCCTCCTCCACATCTTCCTCCCACGTATCTGTGATTATTCATCCCTCCTCCCGGCTTCTTAGCGCTGCCACCGATGATACCCCCAATACTTCGCCGTTCCCAGCCCGTGCGCACCCTGCCCTCCCGTAGCCTTGTTGGCTCAAATTGTTCCTGCACGCCGCTTCCGCCGCGGGACGTCGGCGGCGAGCTACAAAGGGAATGCGTTCGTCTGGGGACTTGGGGCCCCCCGGAGGGCACCCTTAGGCTCTCCTGGGCTCCCAGCGCCCTCTTGGGCCGTCTTCGCGCTCTCTGGGACCGTCTTGGGCCGTCTTGAAGCCGTCTTGAAGCCGTCTGGATCTGCCTTGGGCTCTCTTGGTGCGCTCTGCGTTCCTCCTGGGCTCTCTTGGGGAGTCTTGCCCCCCGCCCTCTGGGGATGCCCAGAAGAAGCCAGGCTGGTCGGAACTCGCTGTGGGGCAAATCAGTTTGTTCAATGCACAAGGGCAAATAATGTACACGTTCGGGTGCATATTTTCACAAGGTTCAAACTGAAGCCTGAAATGGCTGCGGTTCAAGTTCCTTCAACTCTGCTCTTCTACTTGCTACTCAGCCTACACCAATTAAGGAGCCGAGCTCTATATACACCGACGTTTTTTCGGCCCCGCACTGACATGCGCACAAGAAAGCGGATCCTGGTGTGTACGGATCCTGGTGTATACATTTTTTGATGTCCCCCCCGGGAATGAGACAAAAAACAGACACCACACCACCCCGACGTCGTCCCCGACCCTCAAAAAGTTCTGGGATTGAAAAACAGCCCGCCACTGGTAATGGATATGTTCCAATTTCCGACCAATTACGAGCGGTTCCTCGCACACGGTGTCTGTACGAATCTTTCGGTAGTGGAGCGGGTCTTCACGGAACTTTGCGGCTGAACCAACTTGGGCCAATTACCGCTGATGTCAACAAACAAAGTGCTCATCTTTTCTCTGGCTGGTGCTGCCGAGCCTGACTCAAGCCATCCCGGCTCTGCCAGCACGTTCAAAACAAGATGCTGATTCGCAAATTGTGGTGCTCACCGTTGTCTTGCGCCACGTGTGGCCTACCCGAACCTCTTGCAAAATCTGTCTAAACTTGGTCTGTCCACAGACTCCGTCATGAGATCTCCTGGGTTCCCGTCAGTGCCGATTTTGCGGATGACAGAATCATTATTTGCGAGTCGCTCTTGGGCCCACACGTATGTGCGTGAAGGTGCTTTGCTCTACCCAGCCCTAGCCTGGATGCTATTCCTTTTTGCGGCTGAGCTGCAATGCCCAGGCGCCCTTTCGTAACGATAACAATATCAGGTGCGCATGACAAAATTTCTAGCAACACCCTTGCGCAGTTCAGGATCATGTAGACTGTAGCTTCCCCAGAACTCAGTGCGATGACGCTCTCTGTGCTGCTCCATCTGTTGTTGATTGCGTATCGACTGGACATCAATGCTCCTTCTTCCGTTGGTGTTTATTCCTGGTTCTCGCGCGCGGCAAAAAAATACATGACTCTTGAAACGGGTACTCGAACATTGCATGTTGACGCCCTTGTAAATAGCGTGCACATATTTTCCTCTTGCTCCAATGTCCTTTTGTTAGCTGTTGTGTTCCTCGTGCCAACTCCTTTGCTACGTAATGGATGTCGCTACGGTTCAATGGTATTCATACGCATGCACAGTGATCTAGTTATCGTAACCATGTCTGGCAAACGGAACTTGGACTTTCATCCGAATCGCATTCCTCTCACACCAAGAAAAATACGCTCTCAACCGCTCATCCTGGATTACGCTGTCTCTCACGATCAATTCGACACGTCGTTGGTCAGACTCGTACTCTGAACGAATTTCGTTCCAAGACGCACGCTGGTCAAGAATCTGGACACGTTTGTCATCACCGCCTTCGGGTCCTACTGTTGTTCGCACTTTGAGGTCCATCGGGCCGTCATCGTCGGAAGACGCTGTGACATCGCCCCCGTGCACATCAGATCTCACGCCCCGCGTGGGTTCGTAGACAGAAAATGCAAGGGCTCGAACGACCTTGAAAGGATTCCGCATGCGACAGCGAGAGGCCCATCGAAGGCTCATCTGCAAGGAAGCGAATCAGATCATTGAGGGCATCACTGCCACATGTGCTGGATCAGTGAGGCGACCAGCTTGTGGCAGAGCACGCGCAGTGGATCTACGAGGAGATGGCTCTGCCACAGGCCTGGCTCAGCTGCGAACGGTGAGGCTCGCTCAGGAGTCAGCCCATGTTCGCCGGCCCGAGAAGGTGACGGGCGCACGCGCGCTCACGGATCTCCTCAAGCTGAGCGAGGCCTCGCGCGGGGGGGGCGAAGAAGTTGACGGTGCGCGCGACATTCGAAGCGGATCGCGTCGACGAGGTCGCCACCTCCAAAGTGGCCAACATGATGGGCGCTCTCCCCCCCGAGGAGGCCGTGTGCTACCAAGATGAGGACAACGTCAATTGGAAAAGGAAAAGCGCATATCATCAAGGAGGAGCTCGAGCAGCACAGCGGCTTCATAGGAGGACCGGAGAGCGAACGGGTCAAGCACCTACACCGAGCGGACCTACCCGTCATCTTTGGGTGTTCCGCACTCGCGACCAGATTCGGACTGTGAACGTGGGCCAGGATGTCTTTCAGGGCGGTCTGGGCCAACCCGCTGTGGGAGTTTGTCGGCGCCGACGTGACCCCTGAGCTTGAGGCCATCGGCGGCCGCACCCGGGACGCCATCTCGGCAGCCCTCGACCTCGAATGGCCCCACGAGCCGCCCTCACACTCAGAGGACGAGCTGCAGGTTGCCCCTCCCGGCTGGATCAGGTGGGTACAGCTTTTGCGCCAGCAGGTTCGCTGGGCGCTGATCGCAAGCGGGATTCGGTGATGGTGGGGGGTATTTTCTTTCGTTTCCGAGTCTCTGGCATGGATATACTTGAAATGAGGTTGTTAGACCTCTTGGTCACAAGAGGGATTTGGAGACACAAGCCACCATCACCACAGCAGGTCCGTTTCGTTCATTTGAAACGGGGGTTCGACCGCTCAGTGTCGGTCGAAAGCCAGCGTATAATTCTCGAGAGAAGCTTCAGATGGATATCGCATCTGGCCGTCTTGGAAATTAACGGCCCTGATCGTCGCATCACGTCTGTCGAGTTGTGCTGCAGGGAGGGAGGGAGGGCTAACAACGCACCCTTGCTCATATATCGGGACAGTATGGATGAATGATATTCGACTGGATATTAATGTATTTGAGTCGTCACGCACATGTTTCCCCTCTCCATAGTTTCTTCTGGGCTCTCCCAAGTATTGTCGTGATCGAAACTAGGACAAGATTTCTCCACGAAGCTTCCCTCCCTAGTTTTGTGAGTAGTACCTGAGGTGCTCACCCTTTTAGCCTGTTGCCAGTGCCTGCTGTGGTGGAGACACAAGCCACCATCACCACAGCAAGTCCGTTTCGTTCATTTGAAGTCGGGCTTCGGCCGCTCAGAGTCGGTCAAACGCAAGCGCATAGTTTTCGAGAGAAGCTTCAGATAGATATCGCATCTGGTCGTCTTGGAAATGAACGGTCCTGATCGTCGCATCACGTCTGTCGAGTTGTGCTGTAGGGAGGGTGGGAGGGCTAACAAGGCGCGCTTGCTCATATATCGGGAAGTATGCATATGTATGTATGTATGTATGTATGTATGTATGTATGTATGTATGTATGTATGTATGTATGTATGTATGTATGGATGTATGTTTGTATGGTTGTATGTATGTACGTGTGGATGTATGTATGTATGTATGCATGCATGCATGCATGCATGCATGCATGCATGTATGTATGTATGTATGTATGTATGTATGTAGATGGATGCTTTTGCGTATGTGTATATATATTTATATTATACGTATATGCATACCATATATATATATATATATACACACCCCTCGTGAGCACACTTTTCTTTTTTCTATTCTTCCACGGAACGAACCCCCAACTCCAACCGGAAAGAACCGCAGCTCCACTCCGTGGAGCGATAATTGCGAAGGGCTAAACAAAGACAGCGGGTCGCATGGACAGCAGCAGCAACAGCAGGAATACCTTGACCCGCTTAGGGGACACTGTCTTATCGAATATCTCTCGAGGGTCCTCTTTTTCAATGAAGCTCTGCTGCATCCGAGTTTTGCCCAGCGGCCTTGTCCATGTGACGGGCTAGCGCCTCCAGGCCCTGCAGCAGCAGGGGCATCACGCTCTTTTCCTGTGCCCGCCGCAGGGAGGGGGGAGGGGGGGAGACTGCATGCCTCCCCTCTGGAGCCATCCTGATCTCGCTCGAGGCCGTCATCCCCTTCGCCGTCTGCTACGTTTTGCCCTCGACAATCGAGGACTGCCATTCCGTTCCCCTCCACCACTCACTCACCCAAGAATGACGAGATTGAATGCAGAGCGGACAACATTATGGAGAATTGAGGTACGCAATGCCCCACGCTGCTCCTCAACGCTCTCAGCCGGATGACGACCCGGGCAAATCTACGATCGTGTGCAACGCCTGGTCTGACGTTTTGAAAGCCGGCCTCAGCCCCATGGTACCAAACAGCTGCGAACATGGATTTAGACCTGTCAGAATATATAGAAAGCCACAATGGAGTGTGACCCTGGCTCCCCGATTCCATCCCCTCCACCCCTCATCCTCTCTACTCTCAAGGGCCAAATTCGCAGGGGCCTCGCCGGCTGTGCGCAGAGACACCCCAAAACAGTTGGCACACCGTCACAGCAGAGAGCCCTTGGGGCTCGAATGCAATAGGCAGCCTTCGAATGACAGCAGGGAGGTGGAGGACAAGGGAGCAGGCAAAGGGGCAGGAGCGGTTCCGAAACGTCCCACCGTGACCGCATTCGAGCAATTCGAACGCACCCTTCGGTTCTGAACTGAGGCTCGTCCTGAAACGCCTCCTGTCCAGGGCGCTGCCACCACCTCTTGCCACGTGAACTGCGCAACCATCGAGGTTCTAAGACATCAAGGATGCTCCCAGGAATACTGGCTGTCGAATCGAACGCGCGCCGATTGTTCCTTGGTGGTTCGGGGTCACGGCGCTCGTCTCTGCGACTGGCAAGTCTGGAATGCTTCGCGCCCCACGGCAAATTCCGATCCCCATTCCCCCTGGACCACCCTGAAAACCCCTGGTACCCCTTAGAACGTGCTGTAATGCATGGGACCCCCTAATACAACCCACTTCGGACTTCCCTCCCCTTCATCCTCCGTCCCTCCCTCCGTACATTTCCCGAATAAAGATTCGCCAGCGTGGGTCCCTAACAGAAAGTTATTGTATTGCGGATGTGTAAGCTATGTGGTGTAAGCTATTGTGCAAAATATGTGGTGCACTATACGTGGTGCCGGCTGGAGACGGCAACAAGGTGGCAACGGGCGGCAACGTGGCGAAACATCGCCAGACCCACCCAGCGCACGAGGCGGCAACGAGGCGACAGCGGGCGGCCACGTGGCGAAACCTCGCCAGACCCACCCAACGCACGCGCACAAGGCGGCAACGGGACGGCAACGGGTGGAAACATGGCGAAACCTCACCGGAGCCACCCGGAAAACGAGGCGGCAATGAAGAGGCAACGGGCGGCAACGTGGCGAAACTTCGCCAGACCCACCCAAAGCACGAGGCGGCAACGAGACGGGCTCAACTGGCGAAAGGAAACTTTTCCGGTCGAGCAAGCGAACGAGGGAATGTACTTTACCGAGCCAAGCGAATCAGAAGGGCGAGCCAGGATTTGTTTCTAAACCCAATGGGGAAACATCTTCTCGGGCGAACGAAGACACGATTTCGAGCGAGCAAAGACATTTTTCCACCGAGCGAAGAAACTTCTGGACTCTCAAGTAGAACTTTCCTGGAGGAAGGCTGCCGACACAGCAAGGTATTGGATATCTTTTCTGATGGAACCCTGATCTCATCGCTGCCGCCGAAAAACGAAAACCCATGACAAACAACGGGCAATGTGAACACAATCGTTTCTCCAGCCCCCCCCCCATCCATTTGAGACCTCCTTCTTCCGACATGCAACGGAACTGCAGATAAGTGCAGCGCGAGCACCTACATCGCAAACGCACCCACCCGATTTCGAAAACTCCCCCCCTGCCAGACAAGTCTCATGGGTAGTCAGTTCTAGGGCAAGAACAACTCATCGTCGGCAGCGGCATTCAGAAGCATCGGTCTATTTCGCGGAAAGCACGTGAACACACGAATGATAAATCAACACGGCAACGCGTTGATGACGACAACGACGCCAAACGATAACGACTAACACAATCATTCCGAAAGAACACTGCGCTGATCTTCCGACTGGGATGCGCCATCCGTGCACTAAAGAATTCGCGCCGTTCGATCGAGACGTCTGCGCCGTTCACGTATGCGCCGTTCGATCGAGACGTCTGAGCCGTTCTCCGAGAGATCCTGCCATGAGAGCGGCTGCGCCCACCAACCCGTCAGCGCATAGCAAACGCAAGCACGCCCGCTCGCCCTCTCGCCCGCCCACCCGCCCGCCCGCCCGTTGACTATCATCAGGTGGTAGCGGGGAGAGGCGAAACACATCGTGTTTTGTTATGCCCGTGATAGGGGCGAACAGCGCACGCCATTCTACCCCAGTCGTTCTATGGTTGTAAATGGGGAAGCTCCTGGGGAGGGCAAAAAAGAGTTACATCCTATTATTATGATGAACGTACGAGACAGCACCCCCTTTATTATTATGGAGCAAATGCAAGCCATCACCCTCATGCTTATTACGGTAATGTTACAAACTATCACTGTGTCGCTCCGGTGCAAGATGCCTATGTATTTCATAGTTTGCTGCGCTAGTACAACTCAGCGCAGAGGCGCGCATTCCTCTGTACAAATGCTCAACATATAGAAAAAAGCAAAAGCAATACGAGAATCGCATGACATATTCAACACGCATACAACAAAGGAAGAGATGGCGCGCTTTGCTTGATACAATCACGTGCGGGTATAACACAAATATGCTCCTCGCTTCCTCCATCTCGCGCGCTTCCCTCCTCGTCTGTCCTCTCCTGTCCTCCTCCCCCCCTTTTCCTCGTCCTCCTCTATCCCGGACGGCTCTCCTCCTCCTCCTCCTCCTCCCCCATTCCTCCTCGCCTTCCCTTCCGGGGCCTTCCCTCCTATCCTTCTCCGACCCCCCCCCGAGCGTGGAGGGTCGGCGCGAGCGGGGGTTGGCTGGCGTCGCTCTCTCCCCCCTGCCGCGAAGAGGTGGAAGAGACGGGGGGAAGGCCCCGGGCGTTGACGTTGGCCCGCCCTGGACGCTGGCCCTGGGCGGGCCTCCGGCCTCCGGCCCCGCCGCAGGAGACATCGAGAAAGACAACGCCGCGAGCCCCGCTGGATGTTGGCCCCTCTCACGGTGGCCTATGGGCCAGGCCCAGTTCAGGGTGAGGTCTTCCAGCGCGCGCAGGGCGTTGGCCCCTCGGCCCGCCCTGGCGCCGCTCTGGCAATTGCGCGGTCAGTTGTCCACGGCTTCAAGCCCCGCTGCCGCTGGAGCCAAGGCCCAAGGGCCACTCGCTGAAGCACTCAAAAAAAAAAACTGGAAGAACGATTAAAATAGGCGAACTCGCCCAGCGCCCTCCGCGCAAAAAAACAAAAAATAAGACCCTTCCCGGGCAGTTGTAATTTCTGTTTTACAGACAATCCCACCAGCCCTCTGGGCGTCGGTGGTCTAGAGAGTTTCCTCTTCCAACCCCCTTCTTCCCCTTCGGGGAGGGGTTTACCCCTCCCCCTACCCCCTCACGGACCTGAACGGGGGGGTCCGCGGGTCGTTGGGGCGTCCAAGATGGCCCAAGACGGCTCCAAGAGCGAAAAGGTGGGAAAGCAACACAACATTGATTTCCCTAGGTTTTGGAAGGATTTTGGCTTTTTTGTGGGCCCAAAAGGCACTCTAGAGGGGCAACGCTAATTCCCACCCCCCTTCTTTGATAGATCTCCTCCAACATGGCCCCAAGAGCGCCCCGAAGGCTCCCAAGAGCGCCCCAAGAAGGCCCCAAGAGGCCCCAAGAGGCGCCCAAGAGGCCTCCAAGAGGCTCCCAAGAGACCCCCTAAAGGCCCCAACAGGCTCCGCGAGATACGCAAGAGGCCCCCAGGACCGCCAAGAGGCCCCAAAGACGGCCCAAGAGGCCCCCAAGCTCGCCATTGTCCTCCTCCTCCTCCTCCTCCTCCTCCTCCTCCTCCTCCTCCTCCTCCTCCTCCTCCTCCTCCTCTATGTGTTATTCCTACTTCCTCCCCCTCCCTCCTCTCCTCCTCCTTCTCCTTCTCCTCCTCCTCCTCCTCCTCCCCTCCTCCTCCTCCACGTTCTCGCCCTCCTCCATCTCCTCCTCCTCCTCCTCCTTTTCTTCCTCCTCCTCCTCCTCCTCCTCCTCCTCATATTCCTCCTCCTCCTCCTCCTCCTCCTCCTCCTCCTCCTCCTCCTCCTCCTCCTCCTCCCCCTCCTCCTCCTGCTCCTCTTCCTGCTCCTCCTCCTGCTCCTCCTCTTCCTCCTCCTACTCCGACGACGACGACGACCCCTCCTACATCCTCCCCCTCTTGGGGCACATGGCGGCTTACCCCGCCATTTGTTCTTCTGCATGCCCCCCCGTTTCCCTCATCACCTCCACTCCCCTGGGACTCATTTCTGGACGGGCTGGTGGGGATACGCGAAGCGTTTACAATACAATCATCATATGCGGAATATATTGTTATTGCATATGCCTCATATTGTTGTTTGCATATTGTAAATTTGTTTCTGCTGTAAACAATGCAACGTACAAAAAACACACATAAATGCAGCTGCCAGCGGGGCGACCTCGTCGTTCTCCCGGCCCGATTAGCGCGATCCCGGGCGGGCTCCGAACTCCGCGGCAAAGCCTGCGCGCTCGGGGCCCAGAGCGCTGGGGCCTCGTCGCCGCGTCGTCTCGGGCCTGAGTCCTGATTCCCTCGGCTTGAAGCCGCGCGCCTGAAGCGAGAGCTCTGGCCCCCGAGCTTCGACCCTCGTTCCTCGATTTGGACCCCCGCCCGATGCCCGAGCCCTGAGCAGGCTCGCCCGACACCGCGGGCCCAGGCCTGAAACTCAGCAGCAAGCAAGAAGCCCCAGACCTCTGAGACGCCAAGCGGCACGCAAGAAGCACAAGGCCCCACGCCCGAAGCCCAAGCCTCGAACTGTACGCCTCTACTCCCAGCCCAGAGGCCACGCGCACTGGGCTCTGGGCTGAAGTTGCGCAACCCTTAGCTTAATGGGCCCACAACGCAAAGCCGAAGGCCGACCAAGAGCTCGAGCGCCATGGGCGCTCGCCGGCAGGAGGGGCCTTTCGGGCGGGGGGGAATACAGCGAACTCCGCCTCCTCCTCCCTCCTTCTCTCCTGCACCATGTTTCGGTGTTCCTCTTCTCCCTCCCTCCAAACCTCTGCCCTTCCCGTTTCCCCTTCCTCTGATCATTGCCTTCCCCCCCCTCCCTTCCCTTCCTCTCCCCCTCCCCTCTCTTCCCCCCGTCCCTTTCGCGGCGCCCACCTTTCCCCGGCGAGCCTCGTCGGCCTCGCCGATTCTCGATAACACGCACATGCTCAGATACAGACGCGTTAGTGGGTGATGTGAACTTAGCCCGGCGGCGGAGGTGTGCGAAAACGTTGTCTGGAGACGTTTCACGGGCGCCGCCGCCGCGGGTGCGTCCACCGGCGCATCGTCCACCAGCGAAGGTCGGAGAAGACAATGGAGGCGAGGCGAATCCAGCGGTGGCTCCGAGGCCAACTGCTGGTGCTTCCACCGGCACACGAGAACGATCAAAGGCGGCGCCAGGAAACGGTCCAGTCGACGTACCAGGCGCCGAGACAATATGTGAGTTCCCAGGCGTGTGAACGCGCGCGGACGGCGACAGCGGCGAGTCGGGTTGGAGCTCGCCAAGAGCAGCCGCGAGCGACGCGGAACTGCCGTCGCCTGAAAGGGGGAAATGGGTATCACGGATTCGCTCGCCCTCTCCGCGATGTCGCCGCGCCCACGCGCCGTCGAAGACGCCGCGCGCATAGAGGCAGTGCGCCGGGAGGGGTGCAGAACCACGCGGCGGAGTCAGAGAGGACGCTTGGCGCAATGGCGAAGAGCGTAAAAGAATAGGCTGATAACCGGTGTGTGTGTAGGGTTACGACCAAGGAGTCGAACCTATACGATTCTTGGTTGGCAGAGGTGATTGAGGAAGAGGTTAGCTACTCTTTTTTTTCCATGGCGCTGCGCGGAAAGCAGCGCGGTGTGTATACCCATACCTGAGCCGATACGTTAGCGGTATGTAATGATATAGTGGTGATATGAGCGGACTTCACAAACACACATGCTCGCACCTCCCTCTGATGCTTCCGTATTCCGTATTTATAGATGCTCCCTCTATGCCATACAACCAGCTGGTAGCAATCCCACCCGTACTGCAAGTTCTACACTGCCTTTCGATGAAAGCATTTCGTCGTCGACGTACACGGTAGGGGCGGGACGTGGCTCACATCGCGCACGAAACGGCGAAATGCCGCTCTCGCCCAGGCGCCATGCAAATGTAGGTCATAAGTTGCGCTCCCGCTGTGATTGCGCGACCAACTGCTTTCCGTCGCCATGTTGTCAGAAGCGGTGCAACGCGCACGCGCGAGCGCCTCACGCTCGCAAAAGTGGAAAAGCGCGCTAACCCGAATATCGGGTTGTGCTGGTATCGATTCCTGTGTTTGGATGGCAAGGGGGGAGCGGGGGGGGGGGCGCTGGATCGTTCGAGCTGGCTAGCTGGACTTCCCCCTGCTATTCCCTCCTCCTCCTCCTCCAAGATGAAGCAGGAGGGGGTATGGGGAGGCAGGAGGAGAGGGTAGGAGGCAGGAGGAATGTGCGAGGAGGCATGGGGAGGGATGGCATGATCCAGAAGGCAGAAGGAGAAGGAGGAGTCCTCCTCCTTCCTCCACCATCTCCCCCTTAGCTCCATGAGGTACAAGTCGTAGTCCATCTCTTCGCCTTCGTCGTCGTCTTCGGTGTCGTCCAAGCCTAAGCCGCGCGCGGGGATTGTGAACAAGTCAAAATAATCAGAAATGGAAAAGAGGTGAGACGAGGAGAGGGGGAGGGGCGAGGAGGCTGCTAAGCGTTGCCCTCTGCCCTCGAGGATCGACGGTTGAAGCTTAGGATGCGGTTGCTCTCATGTTGTCATGTCTTTTGGTTCGGGCCTCCTGGGACCTCTGGATGCCTCTGGAGTCGCCCTGGGATTCACGAGCCAGGGCGGCAGCAGCAAAATAGACAGAGACGAAGAGGAGAACCAAGGAAGGGAATGAAGAGGCCTCCCTCCTCCCTCCTCCCTCCGCCTCCTCCTCCTGTATTCCCGAAGCAGTGTTTGCACTTCGGGATGACTTGCTCCTTTTCTAAGGAACTGGGCTCCGTTGTCGGGTCTGCCGCCTTGTGGTCGCCATCGCCGCCCCGTCGCGGCCTCGTTTCCGCCCCGTCACCTGGGCTCCATTGTCGGGTCCGCCCCACCCACGTTTTAATCGCGTTGGTTTGCATTGCGTTGCATTGCATTGCACTGCATTGCGTTTGCATTGCGACGAATTGCGTTACGGTGCGTCACATTGCATCGTATTGTTCTGCATTGCTTTGCATTGCAATCGCGTTGCATGGCTTCGCATTGCTTTGCACTGCGTTGCGTTGATTTGCATTGCTATCGCATTGCCTTGCGTTGCGTTGCACTGCGTTGCGTTGCAGCGTAGCGTTTCGCTCTGCTTTGCATTGTAATCGCATTGCGCATTGCATTGCTTTGCATTGCATTTCTTCGGAATGAGTTTGCAGTGTCTTGCGTTGATTTGCATTGCGCTGCCTTGCATTGTGTTGGCTTGCAGTCTTTTGGGTTGAATTGCATTGCGTCGCATTGATTCGCATTGATTTGCCTTGTGGTTTGCATTGCGTTGCTTTGCGTTATCTTGCATTGCGTTGCATTGCGTGTTGCTTTGCAATGGTTCTCCTTTCTAAAAAAGGATTGAGATCCTCCCCCCGGTTTATCGGTACATCATTGTGTGTTACAAATTACAAGCATCGTCCATCCATCCTAAGAGTGAATTCGTATCATCCCAGCCCAGACGGTATCGATCCCCCGTCATCCTCTGCAGAACAAACTATGCGCGCACACTCGTGCATCAAAACTCATCCGTGATCAGGAAAACCTTGCAAACAATGGGACGAAGTGCACACGCGCGCGTCGTTGCGCGCGCATGCCGAAATCATTTAAAAACCTCTGGTTTCGGAAGGATTGCAAAATCGAGTGTCCAACAAAAATATCCACCGACCCCAGAAACGACTGCGACTCAACCATTCACCTGTTGACCCTTGCCCGGAACCCACCCTGACCCCCACCCTGCCTCCACCATGTTTGCCAACCCCTCTCCGCCAGACCACTGCTCGGGACCTCTGTTCTTGGGGCCCCCCACTCGAAGTTTCCTTGCCCAGAACCCACCCTGACCCCCACTCTGCCTCCATCACGTTTGCCATCCCCACCCCGCCAGACCACTCGTCGGGACCTCTGTTCTTGGGCCCCCCCACTCGACAATCCCTTGCCCCGAACCCACCCTGACCCCCATCCTGCCTCCACCACGTTCGCCATCCCCACCCCGCCAAACCACTCCTCGGGACCTCTGTTCTTGGGGCCCCCCACTCGACACCGCGGGGATCATAGCAGAACTACTCAATGCAGGCGGAGCAGTCCTTGAGCGACACTTATTACAGCTCTACAATGACACTATCAGGCCAGACCAACCACCACCCGAACAGTGGAAAAAGACAATGATCACGGTCAGTATCAAGTCCAATGACCCCAAATTTCTGCAACATTGCAAACCGATTGCTATCATCCCGTTGCTGTATAAGCGAATGTCACGCCTCCTCTGCAACCGCTTGGAAGCCACATTTGATTCACAGCAGAGCACAGACCAGGCCGGCTTCATGAGAGGTTTCAGCACTGAAGACCACCTCTTCACCCCGACAATGCTGCACGAGAAATCACACGCATGGCAGCTACCCCTGTGGGGGGCAGCGATCGGCTTCAGAAAAGGCCTTCGAATGCGTAGACCACGAGGCGTTGTGGACGGCTCTACAACAGCAGCACAGACCAGACTCATACATTAACCTCTTGCGTCGTCTGTACCCCGACCAGACAGCCAATGTCAGAACCGACACCAGCAGCATAATTGTCTGCATTCAGCAAGGTGTGAACCAGGGCGACCCACTCAGCTCCTTCCTCTTCAATGCGCCTCTAGAGCATGTGCTCAGGCAGCTCAAACCCAACTGGCGTCGTAGAAATTGTGGCATCAAGCTTGGACTCGCCAAAGAGACTAACATCACGAACCTATGCTTCGCATATGACATTGTCCTACACGCCCCGACCATACGACAACTCACTTGCTTGCTGCGGGACCTCAAGAAAGAGGCGTCCAACTGCGGATTTTCATTGCACCCCGATAAGACCAAGATGCTCACAAATATCAGCCGGACGAAAGGGAGAACAATGTCACACATAATTTTGGTCGGGGCGCCTATCGATATCTTACCTTCTGGCCAAAGCACGAAATACTTGGGAAGGAAACTGTCGTTCCACGAGTCCCACGCGATTGAGCTGCAGCACAGGATCGCGTGAAGATGGGTTAGATTCAACCAATGGCGACCAGAGCTCACAAACAAACGGTTTCAATTACACAGCATATTGAAGCTCTTCAGCGGCACGATTACACCGAGCGTTATGTGTGGATGCTCATTTTGGACCCGCACAAAAGATATGCTTGTCACGTTGCAGCGGGCGCAGCGAGAAATGCTGAGACTTGTCATCGGCACGCCGAGAACAAGGCGCGCAGCGGAACAGCAGACAGCCCATAAGCACCGACAGCAATAACGCAGACGCCACCACCGACCACATTGACACCAACGCCAGCCCCGACAGAAGCACCGAAAACGACATCGGGCCACGCAGCCAGAGCGACAGCAACAACGGCGACAACGACTTGGAATATTGGGTCAATTTCTACTACCGCCATGGCATTGGCGAAACATGCAGGGGTCGAAGATTGGACAGATATCTATTGTAAGCGCAAGTGGTAATTTGCTGCTCGCGTCGCCAACCACGACCCCGACAGATGGACACGATTGAGCGTGAGCCGGGACCCAAGCTTGCACGACTCACGACCCGCTTGTCGCCGTTGCGGGAGGCAAAAGAAAACGTGGGATGACGACATCGCTTCCTTCCTACACTTGGAGACAGACGCAGTCAGCAACACGCAGTGGTGGGAACTCGGCCAACATCGACAATGGTGGGACAATCGAGGAGAACATGTCCTTCAATTTATGCGTTCTTTTATCCACTCTGGCCATTATTCTTGAGCACGCCTGCTCCTATTATTGTCCCTCCGATTCCTGCTCCGCTGCTACGCGCACAACTATTACAACATTCGCTGACGATGCCAAAAACAATCCTCCCACCGCCGACGCTCAACCTCCACCTTTCGACCTCGACCTCCAATATTGCACCTCCAACTGATGACCTCCAACTCAGCCGCCAGCCCCACCTGATCGGCGTCCGGCGCGCATCACCAGTTGTTGACCTCCAACATCCCACCTCCAGCCTCGACCTCCACTTATCGGCTTCCAGTTTCACAGTTTCACCTGACCGACCTGCAGCTCCCAGCTGCCGACTCCCAGCGTGCAGCGGCAGCGCAAGACTTCAAACATGCAACTCCAGCTGTCGACCTTCACCCGTCGATCGACTTCAACCTCGCCGACAGGCATCCAGCTTACAGCTTCCGACCCCCAGCGAGCACCACCAAGTGTCGACCTCCAACCTTCCACATCCAATTTGTGACTTTCGCCCATCGACCCCCAGAGCCACCTGCCCGACTTCCAGCCTCAAACTTTCGACTCTCACCGTGCACAACCAGCTGTCGACCTCCAACCTCCAACCTCCAGCTTTGGACCTCCACCTCATAAGCGCCAGCCTCACCTGACCGACTTCCAGCTTCCAGTTCTGACCTTCAGCGCACACCACCAGCCGTTGACCTCCAATATCCCGCCCCCAACTTTCGACCACCTCATATTGGCCACCAGCTTCACTTTGGACGCCCGAAATGGGTACGGAAAACATGGGTACAATGCCCAACAACAAGTGATATCCCAAACCAACAGCAGCCGCTGTTGGGCAGGCGGCCTTCTGTCTCAAAAGGACACAGGCCGCGGCGGCGCGGACAGCGAGTCCAGTTCAAAATGAACAGAAATTGTTGTTGGGCATTGTGCTCATTCTTTCCGTACCCATGTCGGTCGTCCCGATTCACCACACCGACCTCCAATCCAACCTCCCGGCCCCGGGAGTGCACCCAATCGTCGGCCGCCAGTCTTTCACATACAGCTTTTGACATCCACCCCATGCCAACAAACCACCTGTCTCACCTGACCGACCTCCAGCGTGCACATGTGCAATTGACCTCCGACCTTCCACCTCCAGCTGTCGACTCCGCCTCACATTCGGCAGCCCCACCCGACTGACCCGACCGACGCGCCCCACGACCTGTCGGCCTCCAACATCCGACCTTCAGCTTTCGACATCCACCTCTCGACTTCCATCCACACTCACGCCCGACGCTCACTTCCCCATTTCCTCGACTACTGAAGGCTCCGGCCCCACCGCGCTGCCCTCCCAGGGCCGGTCCCTCCGGACCGACATCGCGCGGTCGCCTCGCCTCACATCGCCACTCGACAATACTTTGCCTGGACCCCCCCCTTGACCCCCACTGTACGTCCACCGCGTTTGCCATCCCCACCCCGCCAGACCACTCCTCGGGACCTCAGTTTTTGGGCCCCCCACTCGGCAATTCCTTGTCCAGAACCCACCCTGACCCCCACCCTGCCTCCACAACGTTTGCTATCTCCACCCCACTCCTCGGGACCTCTGTTCTTGGGGCCCCCAACTCGGCAATTTCTTGCTCAGAACCCGCCCTTACCCCCACCCTGCCGCCACCACGTTTGCC